TGCTTCTAAAAATTGCCTTGTCAAATTAATTAAGGAGTTTAGGGACTGTTTTGCCCAAAACCTTGCCAAACATCAATTTCCGATGAAGCCTAATTTCAGACCTCACAAGCAGCCTCCAAGGAGGTTTAAAAGGAAGAAATAAAGAGGTTGTTGCGGGCAAATTTTATACGCACTTGCTGCTACCCCGAGTGGATTTCCAATGTTGTTCTAGTGATGAAAAAGAATGAGAGGTTGCACACGTACATTGATATTAGGAACCTTAACTTCACAACTCCTAAAGATTAGTATGTAATTCCGATAGACATTATGGTTATCGACGCGACAACATGGAGCGACCTATTAACTCACTACGAATGCCATTCTTACGGTTTGGTAGGCACATTAATGAAGGTCTATATCGACGACGTGGTTGTCAAGTCTTGAGCTTTGATGAACATTTGCAGCACTTACGAAGGTAGTCCATTCAACGCTACAAACAAGAAGCTTGAAATGATGATTGATGATTTTCGATGATCAAGAAGTCGACGGCGAAAGACAATGGACCATGGCGGCATTAGGAACAGTTCGTGAAAAGAGTATTATTTGTTCATATGAAATTTGATCAAGTTCGATTACAAAAGTATCAATCAAGTAAAATTCCTATTTTTGCTAGATCTACACTTTTTTTTTGGGGGGGGGGGGGGAGGTGCTATTTTGTTATCCCAAAATACTATTTGGGATAAAATAATATTTGATTTTGGATAATCTATTTAAGATTTTAATAGATTTGGATAAAATAGAATCTTAGTCGAATCTAAATTTGGTAGGTAATAGTATAAATAGGGGTAAAGAGACACACCACATTTCATTTCTTTTCCCACATAAATTTTAATTTTTATGCAATTTATTTTTCTTCCCTTCAATTTAGTTTCCTTCGTATTTTTATTTTCTTTTAACTTCATTTAGTCTTGTTGTCATCTTTCCTTTAATTTTCTTGTTTTCTTCCGCTTTTATCTTTGTTCCATTTTTTTCTCTTTTTGATTTATTACTTTGCGAATGTTTATAAAAACAAAAGGCAAAATTGCTCATAACTCTATTGTGATTTCGAAACTCAATGTAAATCTCCACTTTACTTTAAAAATTGTATAATGTCCCCTTATACATTAAAAAATATTGCATGAAGACCCATTGTACTTTTAAAACTCAGCATAACACATCACTTTACTTTAAAAAATTGCATGATGCCCCCTTATACTTTAAAAATAATTGCATGAAACTCTCCGTTATGCAAAACATATAGATAGAAAATTATTTTCTCATCACACAAGAGAGTTTTTATGGTCGTGGGTTTTATGCAATATTTTTTAAAGTATAAGGGGGTGTCATGCAATTTTTAAAGTATAGGGATATTTTACGCTGAATAACAAAATATTGATATAAAATATAACACATATTTAAATAACATATTATATGATTATATATAGAAAAATATATTCCAATTTTAGCAAAATGTATTTTGATTTCATCACAATAGTAATTTGATCCAATTAGTAAATGTTAATAATGAAAATAGCAAATTATCACATAATATATGACATATTATATAACACAATATATGTTATCTGTCTTGTGACGATTTGCTCATTGTTTCAAGTTAATGTGTTAACTTAGTGATGTGTCATATATTGTGTAATGATTTGTTAATTCATTCAGGTTAGTTTGCTGATTTGGCCAAATCAATGTCGTCGTATGATGTTATATATTATTTAGTTAATTAAATTAATTTATATTTTTTAAGTGTTTTAATTTAATAAATTTTATTCAAAATAAAAAGAGTTAATTATTGTGAAACAAATAAAAATTAAAGAAAAATGTCAAATCAAAAGGATGGATGGAGGATTTAAAATATTTTAATCAATACATTTTTATATATGTAAAATAACAATATTTTTTAATATGTGTAACAACAATTAATGAATGAAAATTAATAATAAAAACAAAATATTTTAATAATATTAGGACTTAAAATGGATAAACGTAAAACAAAAGTCCTTTTCAATTTGGTAAAATGTCAATTTGTGGAAATTCTGAGGATGTACACGTGGTAGTGGCGGCAGCCATTTGTCAAGACTTTATCCACGTCATCAAAGCTAAGAGTACAGTGGAATTTAGGTACCATTGCCCTTTCAGTCTTTCGTATTCATAAGCAGCAATTATTATTGTATATATCATGTTGTTTTTTGTAAAACTTTTGAGAAGATTTAATTTAGAATTTAGTTTTAAAATAAACTTTATGGCATGTTTGTAATAGAAAAAACTATATATTTCATTAAAAAATACGAAATTCAAATAATAAAATTTGAAAAATTTTAAATAAAGAAATATACAGTGAAATTATGTACCATATAAATTTTACTCTATTCTTCCCGAAACTAAGTATCAATTTACTTGTTGTACGTAGTTTTAGAAATATTAGTATTATATTGGAATATAATAGAAATAAAGTAGAAATGACTAAAATAACCTTATTAGTATGTGTGATATAAAGGTAATGACATCTGTGTAATATATTGTAAGTTGTAAGGGTATTTGTAATGTTAGGTAGATAGTACAGGTACTAAAAAAAGGAAATGGATACTTTATTATGGGATAAACTAAAATAGAAAAAATGGATACTTTGTTATGGGACAGAGGGAGTATTAAAGTTGAGTATATTTACATATTAATTTTTAAAATATATTTTTATAAATTCAAATTATATAAAATCGATAATTTTTAAATAATAATAAAAATTATTTAATTTAATTATATATTCCCTCCATCCCACTAGAGTTGACTCATTTTTAATTTTGGCATAGTATTTAAGGCAAATTGGTTTAATTAGTTAATAATAGTGAATTATGATATATTTTATTACTCCCTCTGTCCAGCCACAAAGTAGACATTTTGCCATTTTTGGACGTCCAAACACAAAGTACCCATTTCCTTATATAGTAACTATGACCCACACTTCAATTTACAAATACCCCTATATTAATACAAATTTACATCGATGCCACTACATTAAATACATATACACTATTTAACTTAATACACAAATTACACATTAAATAAATCGTTAAACATTTATACACAATTACACACATACAAAACTAAATTAAATCACACGAAATTAAACACGAACCAAACAAACTCACCATTTCTCAGATCGGTTCATCCTCTCTCTTCGATGTTGTTAGGGTTTCTCTCACTCTTCGATCTCTTCGTGATTTGTTCTCTCTTCACCGTCGATTGCGTCAATGGCCAGTAATGGTGCCAATGGTGCCGGAGCTAAGCACAGTGGCGAAGTTCCTGGTATCGTTGTGCTCTTTACAGCTTCGAATTCGGGTTTGAGAGCTTCCTACGGCGTCGAAGGGATACCACTGTCTAATTCAAATCTTTATACATCCGTTGTTCCGGAGACCTCTCTGACTTTCGAGGGTGAGTTCGTGCCTGATTCCAATGATATAGATTCAGATCTTTATAGATCTGTGGTTTCGGAGAATTTCGGGACCTTTTACGGCGAGTATGCGCCAGGCTCTGGTGATTAACTTTTATTTTCATCTTATATTTTCATTTTGATTACGTTCGGGATCTTATTTTTCATCTTGATTAAGTTTTTGTAAACCATTTCTTTTTGTAGCTTCGGATTTACTCTTGTCCGAGGTGCCGGAATCTCCTAACATTCTTTACGGGATGGTTGTGCCGGATTCCGATGATGAATCTATTGCGCCGGTGGGCATAAGCCCTAAAAGGGATGGTGGAGACTCCCTTGCCGGAGGTCACTCTGCTGTTGTCTGTGAGGTTGTCCTTGAGTTCTTGAGAATTTACTGTCATCTTGCCATGTCATTGCCCGAGTTCTCTAAGGTATACATTACGTTGTTTTATTTATCAGAGTTTGAAGGGGAAAATTACATTTTGCGGGTTAAAATAAAATTTTCTAAACGTTTTTTCTGTGTAATCTAGGTTCTGTGATGTGTGAGTAATGCATATTGTTTGGAGGCTTACTGTTAAGTAATACAACCACATGTGCATTATAATTAATACGCACATGGCTTACTCAATGCTCATTATAATTTCATAGTGTATTGTCACTTCCCTTAGTGTGTGAGTAATGCATATTGTTCATGGAGGCTTACTGAATAGGTAATGCAACCGCATGTGCATTCAAATTTGTACATACACTGCCCCTACTCAATGAAAATTTTTATCGGAGAGAATAGTTTAAATATACTTCTGAGAGTGAGTTGACAACACTCTATGATGACAAACATTGTTTTGACATTCTTATATATTGTCAATCGAACCAAAAACATATTATGTGATACAAAAAGTGTGAAAGTTGTAGACTTTCATGGCCTTAACCTATGAAATTGACTTGTGTTTATTGCTTAAACATCCTCTGTAAGTTGAGGTGTTTTATAGCAATAAACATAATTTTTACATACTCAAAAAGAGTCCTTTTTACTATACTGAAAATTTCTTCCTACCACACTAAAAAGTCCCACCTTCTAAAGTTCCTCAAGAGAGGTTATAAATTCTTCCAAGTCTTCGACTTTATTTGCATCCATCAAATGATCAATAGATATCTTGATCATTTCATGGTCCACTTGTAGGTCTTTTGGGAGATCCCTTTACCTCCTTAAAGAGTTTTTCCCTATACGAGGGATCTTGTAATTGTTTGAGCCAAGATTGGCTATTATTTCACCAAGACATGCTTGCAAGTTTACAAAAACTGAATCTAAAGTGGTATGTGAGAGCTCTTGAAATGATTTATGAACTGCTTCAAGCAGATCATCCACTGTGGTACCTGGTATGGTAATTTGTAAAGATTGCAATGCCCGGAATCATCCCAAATCATTTACATTTGTGTCGGGGCTGTTTGGTGGTTGAAAGACCAAACTTATGTTGAATCCATCACTGTTTGCAGCTTGTCTAAACTCAGGATCATCGTTATTGATGTGAGGCTTTGCATTGTCTTGCTAAACGATAATGTTTTTATCCCTGTCGACAGGCCATTTTTCCTTTATTGCTGGGATCACCTGTAATAACATCACCAATGAGGATTATTTTTGTAATTCTTATTTAGGAGACTTATACTTGTGATAATTAACCCAATGATGATATGTTTCTGAGGGCTAAGGAAGTTGAGTCTTATTAATACAAGGTGTAGTAACATACCTTATTAATTAGAAGCTCCTTGGTGACTTTTTTAGTGATGGATTCCAAAGGTTTAGTAACCATTGTTTCAGTTGCCCTGTTTTTTTTTATTTTCTTAGGGCTGAAACTTTTTCATTAAAAGGAAAAATGCCTATTTTACCGTCAAATATGCATTCTCCACTCGGATCATACACAGGTCTAGCAACTGCACATAAAAATATTACCTTGGTGATGAATCTTTTACTTTGACAGAACCTATATGGCTCTGTCTCATCCGGTGTTAGGTAGTAGCTCTCGGTCTCCTTTGTGAGATTGAACCATTTTTCATCTATATGCACAATTTTTGACATGCTTCTAAATTGGACTACTTTCAACTCATCGTTAATTTCCAATGATTTGAGGCCAAACTTCAACCTCTCTATCTTGTTCTTCTCACTTAAAGAAGGCTTGATAGCATTGGTGTGTGGCCTGATAAGTCCTGCCTTTGCCCAGTACCCCACAAGCCTCTTACTTACATGCATCTCTTTTGCTATATTTCTATAAGTCCCTCGTTTGTGTACAAGAATATTTTGCAAAGTGGCTTTATCAAATGGCTTCTTTTTAGCATGACATAGGGTTCTTTTTTTACTACACAAAGAAATAGCCTGACCTGATTTCAACTGTTCTTGAGCTTTCTTCCATACTCTATGAATCATCTTTCTTGTAACACCAAACTTGGAACTTGCTTTAGTGAATTTGCCATATGCTGGTTTTCCAGTCATTGAACCTTGCAGCAGAAATTGAGCAATGCTGTTTAGAGATTTAGTGCTTAAATTTGGCTTTCTCATGTTTTCAGCCATTGGAACAAAATATGTGTATTAATGGTGCATATGAACTACTTATAATGGTGTTTAAGTGGGAAAATTACTTTCATTCTAGAGGGAAATTGTATTTTCATTAGAGGGAGAAAAAATTATGTGACTTGGTTATGATTGTCTGAGATTTTTGGAGGGAAATCTGATAGTGTTCATGCTGTTTCATGCAGAGTTTTGCAATTACTTGTAAAATTTTGCAATTTTGGTTATTTTATTTCATGTTTAAGTATTGCAGATTTCATCCTCTCAACCCACTGATTTATCGCGATGCCTATTGATGTTTACGTTATTGTAATTAATCGCGACGTCTATTGATTTCTCCTTCTCACTGCAAGTTGTTTTTGTGTTGATTTCGGGTGATTTTTATCCCGACCACTGACTTTGTAATTGATCAGATATGAAATGTAATTACATTGTGGTTTGTTGTTTAATTTATTTGTAATTTGAAAATTTTATCTGTAGTGGTTTAATGTGACAAAATTATTTTAGGTATAATTTTGCAAAATTAGTGTACGTGTATTTTACTTTGTGTATATTACAGGGGATGAACAGTGTTTTTTAATTGTTAATATAGGACTTTATTTGTGTTGCTTAATTTAATTAGTACATGAAGAGAGAGAAATTAGTACACAAGGGTAAGGTCATTACATAAAAAACAATCACCAACTATCATTAAAATATAATATTCCTTAATAACCGTACAAAAAGTAATTGTTTATTTATTCCCTGGACGGAGGGAGTATATTTTTATATAAATAATATTATTAGTAATTTTAAAATAAGAATTAATATATATATTAAAAAAATTTGAAATACGTTAACATTTTAAATATTATATCTCAACAAAATATATGGAATATGAATATTATTTCGTAAAGAATAAAATTTTAAATAATATAAGTACATAAATATATATATTTATTTATAATTAAGATAAATTAATTTTGTAGAAAGGGTGAAGTTTTAAATGTTGATAACAATATTTGTTTATTATCAATTCAATAAATTTATTTCTTATTAAATTATCAATAAATTCGTTATAGTTATCAATAAGCTCTGATTACTAGTTTTTTTTCTTACAGTGTAGATAATTAAGGTACGCTGGTTAACTACATCTAATTAAGCTGAAAATACCTAGGTACACGCCCATAGGATATATTGTCTAATCACATTCTAATCTAGAAAAATTCAATTAAAAACAATTACTACTTAAGAGGAGCAATTAGATTTGATTGCGTAACCCTCGGGAAACAACTATTCAACCCGGTTGTCACCTATTCACATTCTAATCTAGAAAAATTAAATTAATAACAATTACTACTTAAGAGGAGCAATTAGATTTGATTGCGTAACCCTCGGGAAACAACTATTCAACCCGGTTGTCACCTATTCAAGTGTGAATACAATTAAGGATATCCTACCTGAATTGACTTTAAATTATCAGACCAATTTAAATATTGGTGCCAAAATATCCAATTAATCTAACAATCACAAACATTATTCTCATAATTAGACAAATATTGATAATAAAAAAGAACTTTTATAAAGTAAGTCGAGAATCTTCAAAACACAAAGAACCAAAACATTATCATCTCTTAAACCAAAAAAGTATCTACTCCATAATCAAATAGCAAAGAACAATAAAGAAAGATAACGTCATAGTCTGAAGGGAAATCTTCTTTGTCGATTTGCTCCTGCGTGATCCATGAATCTATAAGTATACTGCTCATGCGCGTACCTGCACTGCGTCTGGCCGTCCCTCTGTCTGCGTGTAAATTCCTCTTTTTTCTTATAGTTTTGCCATATTTTTGTAGTAATTGGGCTCTTGGGCCTTCAATTAAATTCCCATGTCAGGAGGATGGGGTTAGTCATGTCCATGACTAACTTGATTGTCCAAGGCTGATTTGTTTTTTTTTTTTTTTTTTTTTTTTTTCTCCAAATTAACCAAATTTGTTTTTTTTTCTCTTGCATGTCGGAAATAAACAATACGCACAAAAATCAGATAGAATCCAATCAGAATTAACCAAATATTGCATATGATACGGAAATAAAATGCATGCGATTTCGAGCTATCAATTCTCCTCATACCTAGATCATGCTTGCCCTCAAGCATGGATTCAAAATAAGCCACAAAAATTGCAGGCGACTCAATATGACAAGAGAATCCAACACAACCAATTCAATCTGAAATTCAACATGTCAAACCAAGTCAACCTTACAAAATAAAATGTATACGCACATGCTCTCTGAAGAAAATAAGTGTATAATTAGTTCAATACTCATATAGTGCAACAAAAGACTATCCTGTGGGCTTTAGTAAAAATCAAACCTCTCTTACTTAAGATATTTGAATATAACATAAAGAATCAAATGGACTTTCAATAAGAATTGTAGCGGAGCTTATGGTCAATGGTAGGAAAAAAAGATAAACAACGACTAAGTATATCAGAAAACAATGCGTTAAGACCATGATGCTAGTATATGGAAATAAATTAGCATAAACAATGAAACACTTACTTTATTTACTACATATACTTCAATAACATATCCACATCAATAATACTTTTATCATGATAACTTATTTTCTTTTATTTTTCTTTTTTCTTTTTTTTTTATATTTTTGCTTTTGCTTTTGTTTTTTGTTTTTGTTTTTACTTATAAATATATACTTTCACTACCCATTGTTTATTCCTGAATACTATCACATATTTGTATCCAAATTTTGTTTATAACTGATGCCGAACAAATAAAATGTATCACATTATGAACTCGAAGTAATTTTTTTCTAATATAGGGTTCAAAACGGAAAATGTTTAATCAAAAGAAGGGTATGGGCTAAGAGATGGTTTATTAAAAAAAAAAAAAGCCTAAAAAGGCTCAATGGGCTAACTAGGGAAAAATTATTTTGCTAGGTGATAAAAAAAGGCGTAATAGGGTGACCTAATACCCTTATCATTTTCAAAATGTAAGACTCAGTAGTCGCAAGTTCAACATGCATAATCACTCAAGTTCTAGGTCATCTAAATGAGCATTACGAATTGCACAAGAAAGAATTTCCAAAAGTTTGAGTACTATGCAGTCTATTTCCAAAATAATTTCTATGACCATATGTCTAGCCAAATCCACGGTATACACAAATTAATAATCGACTTACCAATCAACGTCTAAGTCTAGTCAAATCTACGGCATACATAAATTAATAATCGACTTGCCAATCAACATCTAAGTCTAGCCAAATCTACGGCATACACAAATTAATAATCGACTTTCCAATCAACATCTAAGTCTAGCCAAATTCACGGCATACACAAATTAATAATCAACTTTCCAATCAACGGCTAAGTCTAGCCAAATCCACGGTATACACAAATTAATAATCGACTTGTCAATCAACGGCTAAGTGTAGCCAACTTCATGTTACACACAAATTAATAATCGATTTGCCAATCAACGGCTAAATCTAACCAAATCCAAAGCATACACAAATTAATAATTGACTTGTCAATCAACAACTAAGTATAGCCAAATCCACGACATACAAAAAAGATCAATTCTTAATAGTAAGTTCACCATATATCACATAAGGAGATATAATTATAATGGTCTATTTAACTAAGAAACGTAGTTAGATGGTAAATTCATTTCAAATATGCATAATTTAACCCTTTACCTTACTTAGGGGGAACTAACCAACTTAACTACCACCGACTCATAGGACTTGATTTGGTCGGACTTCACCTAATCATCAAATTCGAGAAATCAATTTACTCAAATTTAGCGCAAATCTTATAAAATTCACCATAAATTCATCGTTGGCTCAAACCTTATGAAACTAGTGCCAAATCAAAGCTAAAGTTCCTAGATTATATTTCAAAGACCAAAAATACAATTATTAATTTGAATTACAACCATAATATCATATTAACTCAAATAGTCCTTTCACTTCGGAAAAACAGAGCAATTGTATTATAAAAATCACTAAAAATCCGTTTTACACCCAAATGAGACAAAATTGGTCTCTAATGAAACATAACACATATATCTATATACCCAATCAAACAAAAACGCAAAAAAAAAAAAAAGTTTTAAAAAAAACAAAATAGAAGTTAAACATAATGAACAGTTCCTTCGTCAAGAAACATGATGTGTAACTTTAAGAATTTATATAAAATTTATTTTATATTCAAATGGAACAAACTTGATCCCTAATTAAAGGTAACAAAAATATTGACATTTACCAGGAATCAAAATTGTGAAAACAACATCCAATAGGTACAGAAAATCCGCCGAGCACTCTATAATGTTTTTCCATCAAGAAAATAAGTGTATAACTTTGAAAAATCATATATAAAATTGATTTGTCTTTCAAATAACTCATATAATATGTCAAAATAAGATAAAAATCATGAATATTATGAATACGGTTTTAAAAAAGTAAGTCCATGGTTGAAATAAATGAAATAACTTAAAATAATGCACACGTGAAATTGAATTTCAAGAGTAAATAAGAAGAATGTATGAAACTTACTCCAAATTCACCTCAACTTGAGTGGGAGGGAAGCGAGTGACGGCTAGGGTTTCCGTAGGAGTGTTTGGAGGATGAAATAAAGGTTAATATAAGGGATAAAGTAATATTTTATGTTTAAAAGTGAAGTTAAAAATGCATTGATGTTTTTTAAAAACGTACTTGAATATACAACTACAACTGATCTTTGACTACTATTTTGTATATAACTCTTTCATTTGTACTCCGATTAACTCAACATTTGTGGCGTTGCAAAGATAATTTAAAAAAATATCCAATGATATAAATTTTATAAAAATCAGGGGTAAACTAATTTTTTAGTCCCGTAACTGGACTCCTTTGTCATTTTAGTCCTTTAACTGGAGATTGTCTTAAAATAGTTCTGTAAATGAAAATTTTTCTCAATTTAGTCTTCAATGCCTAGGTGGCATCTGCGTGATACACTGACGGACACATGTCG